CCGAGTTACACTTGACGTACCCCCGACGCACTAATCAAGGCAGGGCGGCTGTTAAAAATCGATAAAGACCTCTGCTTAATTGAAATACGTCTGGGCTAATTTTTGCAATTGTACTAAAACAGATATAATTTGACACCTTTTTAAATCTTAAATAACCTTTGATCCACTGGACCGTTTTTAATGAAATAACTACCAAAATGTTCTTCACATCGAGACGATTCTAACGAGCCCAAAATCGTCAAAACCCAATCATTATCACAAGATCGCTAAGGTTTTTTTACGAGGATGACGCACCTATAATGTGGGTTAATTGGTTAGACCGCATCTAACCGATTACCCCACATTATAGGTCGTCATCCTCGTAAAAAACCTTGGCGATCTTGTGATCCAATGATTGGGTTTTGACGATTTTGGGCTCGTTAGAATCGTCTCGATGTGAAGAACATTTTGGTAGCTATTTCATTAAAAACGGTTCAGTGGATTAAAAGTTATTTAAGATTTAAAAAGGTATCAAATTATCTGTTTTAGTACAATTGCAAAAATTAGCCCAGATGACTGTGTATTATCGTTGTGAATGTATATTAGCTTTATAATTTATATTAATAAATAAATTTTTTGCTAAGATGGTCTATAATTTAAATTTACAAAATAGGCATGAAATATGTACTGTATGTCTTGAAAGAAAAATCGAAGTAAAATACTTTATCATTATTTGTTAAAACACAAAAGAATTACACTTCTTTAAAAGACAAAATGTAAAAAATTTACAAAAAAAAATATTTTTTTTTATAAATTCACTGTATATAAATGTAAAAACATGCAAAAAGAAGCTTGCAAAAGTCTATCTTTAAAAAAAAAAAGTATTATAATTACATCTAATAGTGGTAATAAAATGTATATATAATATTTTACAAATATTTAAACCTGTCTTAGGGATTATAATTAAAAATCTTTCATAAATGATTCTGTTGATCCATTGAAAATTGAAGAGCTGTAAGATGATCTTCGATCATTATATTGTGATGCAGTTTCACTATTTTTGGTGAATTGAGAAAAAGAAATGAATTAATACAAATTAGATATTATAAAAAAGGTTAGATCAATACAAATTTTTTAATAAATCTTACCCAGAATCTTTATAATAATACAAAAAAAATAAATAAATAGAAAAATAAGATTTATGATCAAATAAAACATAAAACATATATATGATTATGATCAACATACCTTTCTGTGCAGCGCTTTTACATGTACTTGAACAAAATTTTGAATATCCTTTAGGGAACTTCTTTTTACAATGTTTCTTTGAACAATGCTGACACATAGGTATTTGTTTTGGAATTTTTGATTGTGAAGACGTGATCTTATCTGTCTTATCTGGTAATATTAATGATTTTCTATTTGAGAGGCTGAAAGCAAAACTTTTTGGTCGTTGACTTTGTCCACTTGTTGGCAAGCTAGGTAGTGGTTTTGATGAATTATACATGCTAGATCTTCTAATATTTTTTTCTGAATATCCATTTGTGAAAGTACGGTTACTAGCTACAGATATTTGAGAAGGTGACGCGGGTAATGAGATAGTTGTCGACATTTCTTGATTATTTATGGATGAATATTTATTGTATGATGATGATGATGATGATGAATGAGGATCATCAATATGATGCAAAGATGCGTTATATGAAATTGATGAGGTCGATATACGCGGTGATTTGTAAATTTTGGGTTCTTCAGAAGATTCATTCACATATTCTGAAGTTCCATTTGGTGTATTTGCAAGTGGCTGTGGTGTAATTAATTGCTGTGGTAGGTTTCTTTGTGTAGCTACGGACGGGGAATAATAGTTTTGTAAATGTGACTGCAGTGATTGTGTGAGCGGTGCGGAACTTCGAGCGGGTGGGATGTGAGGGTTAACATTTTCAGCTGAAGGTGAATAATTTCCACGAACTTCAATATCCAATTCGTGTTTTATTCTTGAAAGTTCTGACATAAGAGCTTCATTTAAAGATTTAAATCCATCCCGTTGCTGCATTAGATCAGTCGATCCCTTTCGTGATCGTTCAAGTTCTACAGTGAGATTATCTAATAAATCACGAAGACGACCCACTTCCGCTTGCAATGTCACATTTTCTGTAGATAATTCATTGGTCTGTTGTGAAGTATTTGCTTCAGCTACTGACATTTCTTTATTATGTGATACGGCTTCCAATTGTTGTTTTAGCATCGTAATTTCTGATATTATCGATTCGTTTTGAACCTTAAATTCATCACGTTGATGAACAATATTATTAGAATCTACTTTAATGCGTTCAAGTTCGGATTGTAAACGTTCATTTTCAGTCCGCAAACGTTCTTGTTCAGATGCAATGTCATGATTTTGACGCTGTAATTCTTCATGTTGTTCATTTAACGTACGAAATTGTTCTTTCATTCGATTTAACTCTTTTGTTAGGTCACTTATTAAAGAATTATCTTTATCTTTTTGTTGATTTATCACTTGATTTAATTCATCTTGAACTCGTCCTAGTTGAGATGTTAGAGTATCATTTTTATTTAATATTTCACCACGATGTTGAGTAACGCTATCCAATTTAATTTGTAATTGTTCCAATTGAGAAGATAAAGTATTATTATTGTTTGTTAATTCATCTTTTTGCTGACGCGCTACATTCAATTCGGTTTCCAACAGTGATAATTGTGATGAAAGGTCGGAAATTTGGTTGAAATAGTTATCACGTTCTTTTGTAACATTTTGAATTAAACCAGATAATTCATTACATTGATCTTGTAATTTTTTATATTCTTCTTTATGAATTTCTAATTCTGCTTCACCTTCGACGATCTGATCTGGATTTGAAGCCAAAGTAATATTTTCATCATGTTGTTTTATGTAAAATGATAATTCATTTTGTAATTTACTAATATCAGTAGCAAGTTCGTCACCATTTTCACGTAAACGATCGACTTCTTCATGTAAATTCTTATTTTCTAACATGATCTCATTATTTTGATTTTTAATTTCATTCAATTCAAGTATTAACTTTTCATTATCAGACAACTTTTCTTGCATTTGATTTAGATATAACTCTAATAATTGATATTTTCCTCTTATATCATCACGTTCTTTATTTGAAGTGATGATCATAGATTGTAGTTGACGAACACCATTATGTAAACTTTCATTTTGATTTTTTAAAGATTCACATTCTTCGAGGAACTGACCAGATTGATTAATCTGATCTTGTAAAACTTTAATTTTAGTTTCTAATTCATGATTTCTATACTTTAAATCATCCCGTTCCCAAAGGATTGATTTTAACTGATCTGATTGAAGACGATTATGAAATTCAAGGTCACGTATTTTTTTGCTTAATTTACCATCGGATGCAATAGGATTTGTGAAAGTAAACGAGGTAGTTAAAGGTTGAGATGATATTTTAGTGGCCATGGTGGCAGTACCTCCGGTACCATAAGATGATGCACCACTAGGAGAGGTAACGGGATGATAAGGTTCTATATCTATTACAAAGTCATCACAACGTTGATGAACGTTATTATAATTTCCACGTTGCATGAAGACAGCGGTACTATAGTTATTAGTGGTTATGGAGGGGGCGGGAGGTCTTGGAGGAGTGTAAGTATCACGGTTTAGATGTAAAGTATTATTTTTGTTATTAATGATAATATTAGGATTATTTTTAGGCGGATGACCTATATAAGAAATGTTTGTATCGATAAAACCAGTTTTCAAATCAATATCCCTTCTATTGCTATTACTAGTCATGGCTTATTTATTTTTTTTTAAAGTCCACTTCATGCGGAATATGAAAACACCTCGAGATAATAAAATTTTTTTTAAATATGGTTATTTATATGCGAAAGGTGGAAATATATCTATGCACACAAATCTATAGTTTCTGAGATGGACGGATGGATGAAAATTTTAAAAGATAGCAATAGGTAAAAGAAGGAGAGACCGAATTTATAGAACATCTAAAACCAAAAAGAGAGACATAAAAGTCCCGGTAAAAAACTCGTTTTCCTTTGCAGGTTTTTTTCTTTTATATTAAATTAATAGTAGTAACGATAATAGTACAGAATTCAATTAGAACAAAATATACATACTAAGTAACATCATTTTTATCATTATATGTTGCTCTATTTACCCATCAGGTTGCATATATTATTTATAACCACCAAATAAAAACTCGTTGAACCAATGAGATGATTTTCAACACACATGGATTTTTTCAATTATCAAACATAGATGATGATGATCTTCTTCATCTATGCTTGACAACTTGTATAATAATAATGGTAATGAATTTCCGGATGTGACAGTAAACTGAATAAAGGTTGTTTAATTTCATAAATATATTAAATTATTTTCAACTTAAAACGAATGTACATAGTTTTCACACCAAAAAGAATAATTCAAAAGGAGCAACTCATGTTTCAAAAAACGCCGTACGACGTATCACGGATATAATCTGTCATACATATACGTAACAAATATTATTATGTATTATGTCATTTGTAAAAACAATGATTAATGAACAAACATAATAGGCTTTATAAAGCAAATAAACGGTTAATAAATATATTTCGATATGTATAAGATTCCTGGGCTTGATTTTAAGGGTTAAGGCATGTGACTTTTCAAAATTTTAAAATTTAAAGTTTTCTAAAGGGAAATTCTATTTTGACCCGGATTAAAATCAGAAACTAATACTTTTAATCATGTGACCGCTTGTAAGAGTCAAAATAGAATTCTTATTTTTAAAGTTCGGATTTTCCTAAGCTCACTCATTTTAGTCTCTAAGTATGCACTGTATCAAATTTTGTAAAATGCATGTTCTTGTAAAAAATGTAACGTTGATAACGAATGAGAAGATCATCTTAACAATGAACTGTCAAATAGTTCTCTTCACTCTAAAGACTTCTTGAAGAATCAGACTCTTTACCAATTTTAGCTTATTCAATACAGATTATCATCACATTACATTTGATTTGGGTCGGGATCCTTTTTATAAATCACCTAAAAGATATATTGATCCTGAAGTAGTTCATCTAATGAGTCGTATCGATATCAAATAGTGCAAATAGTGTATTATGATTGGCTATAATTGGTATGTTCTGCCTAACCGTGAGTAATATTAAACTTTACTAGTGTCAGCTATATTCAGCAGCTCATTATTTGAATAGAACTATTTGATATTGTACTCAACTATAGTACATTTAGCATCAATACTAATCCAAAATTGGATTGATAATAAGATACCCATTTATAGTGCTCTCCTGTCAACGTTTCTTCTCAGGTGGTAATGAGCGGGATTTTCTTGTTAGATCAGAGTGATACGGTATTTCTTTTGTTGCCAAAATTATTTAATCCTGATAAGACATATCGATAAATTATGATTACTATATATTTTGTTTTAACTCACATTCCTATAATGTTTCAATTATTGAAATTTTTTGCGGTTAGATCAAGCAACCGCTCACATCTTCGATTCAATTACACATTTAAAACAGGTTGGTTTAGATACAGTATTAGTAAATATATTTATGTATATAAATTCATCGTTATTTTAGTTTTAATTGATTTAATTGATCTTATAGAGCATGTAATTATTATGTTTTTAAAGCTTATTTTCAGCCTACATTTACCATTAAAGGTTTTTTTTTTCATCATAATACGTATACAGTAGTTATTGGATGCAGCAGCTAATAACGGAAATTATTTGTTATTATTTTTTATTCAACAATGCAATCAGTCAAATATCATTAACTATAAACGTGAACATAACGGACACCTTCACACCTGTTTCATATGTCTAAAAGATTTAATAACGATCATAAAATAGCCATATTAAGTATAAATTTACTAATGGTGTCCTTTCTACGTAAAATTGATTATACCAATTTGGGTATTGCCCGTTAAAGTAGTAGGTAGATATAAATCGAATTATTACGTTTTATCACAACATTATTATTCTGATAACATATGGTGTGGAGTCAATAGAAAAGGGACCAATCGTTTTTAGTGAAATTTTTTAATTTTTAAATTAAAATATCTCAACAACTATTTAATTGAATTTACTATAAATTTTATTTTAATCTTGAAATTAGGCCACATAAATAAAATTTTTTGTTTTTCATAACCCGGCCGGGTCTTAGAATCTGAATAGAAAATTTTAAATTTTGGGCGCAGTTTAGCATTAACCAATCAGAATCACTAAATTGTATCAAATATACTATAGTAAAAAAATTTGGTATTTTTACTTAAACTTTAACAATATATATCTCAATAATTGTAATCTAAATTAGCTCAAATTTTAATCATAGATAATACCAATATTTCTCTATTATATATAAAAATTTTAATCTATTTGGTCTATTAGTTCTTGAGTATTTACTTGCATATAATAGTCTATTTTTAAAAAAAATTAACTATTGTATATAGTACAAGCAATTACTTGAGAACTACTAGATTAAATTGGCTAAAATTTTTATATACTATATAATAGAAAAAAATCAACTTTATCTATAGTAAAATTTCAAGCCAATTTGAATTATTAGTTATCAAGATATCTCTTATCAAATTTGAGTAAAATAATAAAAATTTTATTATAATTGATTATTAAAAAAATTTAAAATTTTTTTTAATATTAAGGTGACCTCTTTGGCCAGAAACTTTTTATTAAAAGTATATTTCAGTCACAAGGGTATATTAAGCCAACTGTGCCAGGATGTAGATGAGATTTTTCAGGTCATGTAATAAATAGATCTCCAATCTGCACCAATCCAAATATATAATATTTAACTAATTATAAAAAATTAATTTAAAGACAATTTTATAAATACATATTTTCACTTAATAAATAAACTTAAAATAGTTAACTTTAAGAAATATTTTTTTATACTTATACAAAAAATTAAATTAAAATAAATAATTTATTTTTTATTTAGATCAATAAATATTTTCAAATTAATAATTAATTAAATAATAAAATAAATAGTAAATATTAATAAAATCGCTTACTTCAAAATATCTTTTAATTCCTGATCTATATTTTAAAACATAATAATAAACATTTTTTACATCCCTGATAAGTAATAATAAAAAAAAATTGTAAATATTTAAATTGATAAATATTCTTTAAAATGTTGCTAACTTGCCCTTTTGGTAATTTAACTACCCTACAATTTACCAATTATGTCACAGGATCTTGTGTAATAAAATAAAGAAATTTTTTAAAAAAATTTAGAAAAAAATTAAAAAATTAGCAATATTGCAAAATTTTATTACAAGAATTAGTTATAAGCTATTAAATAAAAGTTTTTAGCACCTAATTTTATATATAAATAAGCTACATATTAACTTAATATAGCCAGTATTCTAACCTTAATCTTTAAAAATATTTATTTATATAAAAAAATGCTATAAAAATAAAGAGTGGTTAAATTTTATAATTTAACCAGAGATTAAAATTAGTTAAATTCTATTCTTTATATTCACAACTTAAAATTAAATAATTTAAAATACTTAGATTAATAAATGAATATTTCTTGTACTTATGTGCTAAATAAATGTGAATAAAATTAAATAGTAAATAATATTTATAGACTTTGAATAGCTTATTTTAGACATTTATATAAATAAATTTTCAATATACTCACTCAAGTTAATATAAACAAAAGTGAATTAAATAGCTATGACTACAAAAAGCTTATTTAAATACATAGATTGATAATTTTTTTTTAATCATAGTACAATCATATATTAAATTAAAATAAACAAAATAAAATTAAATAGTTTTTTTTTTTTTTTTTTAAACATTTGGCAGTTATGCTTTAACTTTATTAGGCTTTGTACAAATCTTCTAGACTCGTAAAATTTTACACTAAGTTGCATTTTAGAAGGTAAGTGATAAACTCTTAACTTGTCGGCAGATAGCATAT